GGCGTACCACCCGCTCCCATTTCAATATCATTTGTGGTAGGCGTACCACCCGCTCCCATTTCAATATCACTTGTGGTAGGCGTACCACTGCTCCCTTTACTTTCAACACAATACACAATACAATCCCGGCAAGGGAACAATCAAATTAATACTCTTTCCCGGCAAGGGAACTATAACAACAAGTCAAACATCCCGACAAGGGAGAGTCAGCTATAACCAATCCTATTCAACTTTTTCCTGGCACAACTAATCCAATATTTAATCACAACGTTCATAGGATCAACCAAGGGTACACAATTATCAAATTAAGACTCACGGTCATGCTTGACTCCGACGCATGGATACTCGTCACCATGCCCATACGTCGTACCCAACACAAACAAGTAGCAATTATGACTCAACTCGTAATCCCTCAAGCTAGGGTCAAACCAAACACTTACCTCGATGCCTTGAATTCCACTCAAACCTCAACTATCGCTTTACCCCGCGATTCCACCTCCAATCCGCTCGAATCTAGTCACAAATTGCTCAATTACTTTAATAAACACTAAATGAATAAATTTGAATGCATAAAAATGAAGTTCCCAAGTTTTTCCCCAAAAATTCCAAAATCGCCCCCGGGCCCACGTGGTCAAAACCCGAAGTTCGAACCAAAACCCGGTTACCCATTCTCCCACGAACTCAAATATGTAATTTGTTTTAAAATCGGACCTCAAATTGAGGTCCAAATCCCCAATTTATAGAAAACCTAGGTTCTACCCAAAACCCCCAATTTCACCCATGAAAATCATTGATTTTAAGGTGAAAACATGTTAAATGATGTTAATAATTGAAAGAAATGAGTAAAACCCAACTTACAAATGATTTGGAAGAAGTCTTGTTCTTGGAAAATCGCCCAAAGAGTTGTATTTTGAAAGTGAGGTGAAAAATGACTTAAAATTCGACTAAGTATGAAATTGCTGGGTCTCTGATGTCGCATTTGCGAACTAGGGTTCGCAATTGCGAACCCCGACCAAAATATGGGAATTGCGAATTCTGCTTCGCATTTGCGAAGCCAAGCCTTACAGGGGACCTTCGCATTTGCGAAGAAGGTCTCGCATTTACGAACCCTGTAAATTCGCATTTGCGAAGAAAGATATCGCATTTGCGATCATAGCCAGGCCTGGGATGGTTTCGCATTTGCGAACCAGCCTTCGCATTTGCGAACCAGGCTTCGCAAATGCGAAACCTGCAGGCCTGTTCATACCAGATTTTTCCTAAGTGAAAAATACACTCCGACGCCTATCCAAAACTCACCCGAGCCCTCGGAGCTCCAAACCAAATATACACACAACCTCAAAAATATCCTACGGACTTATCCGTGCGATCAACTTGCCAAAATAACATCATATACATTGAATTAAACCTCAAAATTCATAATTTCTTCCAAATTTTCATAAAACATCAAATTTCCATTTTAAGTCCGAAACACATCAAACGACGTCTGTTTTCAACCAAAATTACAGAAAGCGCTTAAACCATATATAAGACTTGTACCGGGCGCCGGAACCAAAATACGAGCCCGATACCATAGTCTTTTAATCAAATTTCATTTTCATTTTCCTTAATCATTTCCAGAAAACAATTTCACACAAAAATTCATTTCTCGAGCTTGGGACCTCAGAATTCGATTCCCGGCATACGCCCAAGTCCCATATTTTCCTACGGACCCTCCTGGACCGTCAAATCACGGGTCCGGGTCCGTTTACCCAAAATGTTGACCGAAGTCAAATATATTCATATTAATATCAAAATTTAGCATTTTTCACACAGAATTCATATTTAAGCTTTTCGGCTACGCGTCCGGACTGCGCACGCAAATCGAGGCAATCCTGAATGAGGTTTTTGAGGCCTCGGAAGCACGAAATGAATGAGAAAACAGGTGATGACCCTTTGGGTCGTCACAAAAACAGACCGAGAAAACAACATAAACAATTAAGTAGTAATATCTAGGAATTGAATGAAAAATATATTAATTATACCTTAGTAGGAATGATGATTTTGGAGCTCTTGTCTTCTCCATCACAGCCTCTAGTGTCTGGACTTGGTGGGCAGGGAATGAAATTCCCCAACATCTTATCAAGACAAAAGAAAATCTCGTGGAGAATGTCATGGGTAGTATTTTTGGCAGTGCATGATATATAAACAGCATCCACTTGGTTATTAAAGCCCAGAATTTTAGACAAGGCACTCGTTATTGCAATCTTTTTGTAAACCTTATCATTTGACGGACTGATTCCTGCACTAATCTGCAGTTTGTTAACAATCTCCTTGCCCGCAATCGTGATGTTTTTTCCATACTTGAGTACTGCAGCCCAGAAGTAGCCAGTATCTTTTATTGTTTGGCTAGAGCAATAGCCATGATAGCTCCATTCATGTTTCCACAGTATGTAATCGGGACGACCCCGGATCAGACTATACCAACATTTTTGAAGAGCTGTCCGTAACTGTCTGTCCGTTGTCCACTGTAAGTACATGCATATATAAAGATTACTACAAGAATGAATATATGCATATTTTAAAAATATATATATATATATATATATATATATATATATATATATATATATATATATATATATACTAGTACTAATATCTTCAAGAACATATATACTGACCACACTAGAACCCTTTGGAGGTGGAGCACATTTCCAGTACTGTTTGCCGGCCAAAGCCCATGCAAGGTGAAACTTTGGGGAACAGGATTGTTGCAGTTATTCCTCCCACAGAATGTGGGTGCCCATTGTAATACCATCTGCATATTATCATAGGTGGTCGATTGAGAAATTACTTGCTGAGGGACTGTAGTGAAACTAAAAAACAACTTCATTTTAATTTTGCTATATATGTAAAAGGATGAAAACAATCGCTGAGCATCAACTCATATTTATAGTTGAAATCCTCACTTCTATAATGTTAAAATTTAATGGCATTTAATAGGTTATTATTAAATTACGTAATTTTTTGGACAGAAGGAATAACATTTGCCAAAGTATGTTAATGTACGTAGTATTAGAATTCTGTTCACCTACCAACAAAGGTTATGGAGTACTGCACCCTTAACTAGATGTTTCAGGTTCGAGCCTTATGTATAGAATCGCTTTTGTTGGAAATAACTATATCCTCTAATGTGGAACCAAATCCGGATTTAGTGGGCCCCAATAATATGGGTACCCGACACTGAGGAAAACCAAAAAATAAAAAGAATTCTATTCACCTACCTGCGAGGTCCGTCTCCTAGTAGTTATTAGAGTTTCGTTATTTTTTTTCCCGTCAACCCAACCATGGCCAAGGGGCTTCTTTTCACAACTAATATTTAAAACCAAGCATATGCAACATATTAATTTTGTATTCCTTGCATCGCTCTCTTTTCCTTAAAATCTAACATTGTAAGAAATATCCAATAAAATACTTTACTAATTTTTTCTTTTACAAGTCAAACGAAGCACGTGCAATACATTAATTTTTCGTCCCTTGCATCGCTCTCGCTTCCTTTAAATCTAACCGTGTAAGGAATGTCCAATATAATACTTTCTTAATTTTCTTTTCTATAAGTCAAACCAAACACGTGCAATACATCAATGTTTCGTCCCTTGAATCGCTTTCTTTTCCTTAAAATCTAATCTTGTAAGAAATATCCAAAAAAACTTTATTAATTTTCTCTTCTACAAGTCAAACGAAGCACATGCAATAAATCAATTTTTCATCCCTTGCATCGCTTTCTTTTCCTTAAAATCTAACCTTGTAAGGAATGTCCAACAAAAAACTTTATTAGTTTTCTCTTCTGCATGTCAAATCAAGCACGTGCAACACATTAATTTTTCGTCTCTCGCTTCGCTCTCGCTTCCTCAAAATATAACCGTGTAAGGAATGTCCAACAAAAACCTTTACTAATTTTCTCTTCTTCGAGTTAAACCAAGCACGATCTAGCTCACACGATCCATGTTGGTTCGGCTGGTCCCATTGTGCTTTGTCTAGTTAACAATTGACATTGTTTGCCCATGCTTGATTGACTCATTATGGTAAAACCTTCATATACCCACAATCACAAATAATTCATTTCGTAAGTTCAAATCACATCTGAATCACCCATGATACTATAATTATACAACTATTATTTCATATATAATATTAAAAGTAATTTATATTAAAAAAAAACACATCTAAGAAGTCTAAAACATGAAGATACCATTATTATACTAGTATAATACGGCGTATCATTATTATATTAATATATATGATTTGCAAAATACATAACAACACATTTGAATCATCAAAATACATTATTAATTATACTAGCATTATACAATATATAAGACCTCCCATTGATATTTAAAATACATACATGTAATATTATCATATTTGAAATATTTATTGTTACTTAAATTATACCATCATTATACAGTTAAATATTCAAAATACATATATAATTCTTCAAATACATTGATAGTTTCATTTGGAAAAAGTACTTCAAATAAAATGAACCATTATTATACCTATCAGATTGATACTATACATTTTCTTAATCCTGTTTTTATCTATCATAAAGTGGGCCCTAAATCTCTATCTTCCACTGCTTATAAATTAGTAATGTACTGGTGATATTATGATTACTTCAATAAAAAGTAAAATATTTGTTTATAAAATAAAAAATATTAACGAACTAATAATGATCGAAAAATACATGCAATTAAGGACTGAAATAAGCATGAATCTCGGCAAAGAGAAGGTTCCGCTGTTGGAAGCTGCTATAACATATTAATATTTAATTGCCAGAAATGATAATCAATAATTACTGCTATGATTTTGTATTTATTTCTTAAATATTGCCTGGTTATTTTTTCCCAAAATAATCTAACTTTGTAAGGAATGTCCAACAAAATTTTTTATTAATTTTCTCTTATACAAGTCAAACCAAGCATGTGCAACAAATTAATTTTTCGTCACTTGCATCGCTCTCGCTTCCTTATAATCTAATAGTGTAAGCAATGTCCAACAAAAAACTTTATTAATTTTCCTTTATACAAGTCAAACTGTCATGACCCAAAACTCAACCCATCGTGATGGCGCCTATCATGGAACTAGGCCAGCCTCAAACCAACGCAATCCTATTCGACAGTGTAAATATTGAAAACCATTTGCGGAAAACATTCATCATTTTTGAAACAAATCGTTTAAGACATAAAAAAAAGATTTATATTACAATACAGTCGTCCCAAAACCACGGTGTCACTGAGATCATGAGCGTCTAAGGTAAATACATAGTCTACTAATATGTCCAAGAACCAACAGAAATACAACTGGAAATGAGAAGGAGAACCAAGGTCTGCGAACGCCATGCAGATACCTTAACAACTCTGCAGCCTGCGATCTCGATCAACGACTGCAACTGGGACCAAAGGTACCTGGATCTACACACAAGGTGTAGGGGGTAACGTGAGTACACCAACTCAGTAACTAACAAGCATAAACTATGGACTGAGAGGTAGTGACGAACTCAACCTCATCAAAAGATAATAGAATATCGTACAGAAACATAGACATGCTTTCAGTTAACTAAACAGTTCATAACAGTGAAATACAACAGAACGACATGGTAAAGAAGTATAACTCTACTATATCTACATGGCAATGCACATGCTGTATGAAATGCACTATGCCAAGTACCTCATGTGCCTAATAACTCAATGCTCGTCCACTCAGTACTGTATATGGCCCGTACGGCCCAGGGAAGATCCATCCCGTAATATATATACATCTCTGACAGCAGTCACTCAGTACTAAGGAAGGCCAATCCAGCCTATGGAGAAGATCCATCTCCTAATAATAATAATAACAACCTCACAACCACTCGGTACTGTATATGGCTCACAAGGCCCAAGGAAGATCCATATCGAAATATATACACATCACAGACCATCAGCCTCTAGTACCGAGGAACAGGCCAATCCAGCCTCATGCAGAGGATCCATCTCCAGATATAAGTACTTCGAACAAGATCCATGTCCAGGGAAGATCCATCCCTCAATAATATCAACTGCACTCATTGGGGGTGTAAAGACTCCGGAGGGGTTCCTTTCAGCCCAAGCGCTATAACCAGCCAACGAAGGCATATATCAATAAACCACTGCGGCGTGCAGCCCGATCCCATAACTGTCACTCATAGTCAGGCTCTCGGCCTCACTCAGTCATCACTCTCTAATCTCACACATGGGGGCTCACAATGCCATGAACTAGCCCGAAACAATGATATGATGTGCCAAATAATAATAACTGAGACATGATATGATATGATATGCATGAACAAGACTGAATACAAAATATCTATGAAGGAAATGAGATGACAGCAAAAAATGTCCCCTCGGGTCTCAACAGTATCGACGTAAAGCCCTAGCATGATGAGTAGTATGATTTACAGTCCACTTACTTCATCACATGAATAAACACAGATATCAACAAGATAAAATCACTAATCGGTGCCATGGAATGAACCTGGTAACAATTCTCATAGTGCACACCCGCACGCCCATCACTTGGCATGTGCGTCACCTCAATACCATCATATAACACATAGTTCGGGGTTTCGAACCTTCAGAACTAAGTTTGGAAGCGTTACTTACCTCAATCAAGCCAAAAATCCTACTTCGCGATGCCTTTGCTCCTCGAATCGGCCTCCAAATGCTCCGAATCTAACCAAAATCAGTATCATAACATCAATACATGCCAAAGGAACAAAGCTCAAGTGAAAATAATCAAGTTATCTCAAAAATCCCGAAAATGGCCAAACCCGACCCCCGGGCCCACGCCTCGAAATTTGATAAAAATCACATCACTAGAATCCTTATCCTCCCACGAGTCTATACATACCAAGAACATCGAAATCGGACCTCAAATGGTCCCTCAAATCCCCAATTTAAACTCTCCAATTTTAAGCCCTAATCCCTCAATTTTAACCCTTAAATCCTACAAATTGCATGTCTAATCAGTAAGAAATTGCCATAGAATCGAGTATTAAGTTCAAAAACCTTACCTCCAAGTATTACCCCTCGAATCCCTCTTCAATTCCTCTAAAAAAGATCCAAGTTCGAACACAAATGGTGAAATAAGACTGAAAATCGCGAAGGGAAGCTTTTATAGTTTTTGCCCAGCCCTTTTTGCATCTATGGATAATTACACGCACATGCGAACTCGCACCTGCGGTCCGAGGTGCGCACATGCGAAAAGTCACTTAAACGCCAGCTCCCGCACCTGCGCCCCAAGCCTCTGGGGGATCACAGGTGCGGTCATACCCTTCGCTCCTGCGACCAAATCCGCATCTGCGGTCTCGTACCTGCAGTTCCCAATCCGCAGGTGCTTCTTTTCACAACTAATAGTATATGGGTACCCAACACCGGGGAAAACCAAAAAATAAAAAGAATTCTATTCACCTACCTGCGAGGTCCGTCTCCTAGTAGTTATTAGAGTTTCGTTATTTTTTTTTTCCCGTCAACCCAACCATGGCCAAGGGGCTTCTTTTCACAACTAATAGTATATTTAAAACCAAGCACATGCAGCACATTAATTTTGTATTCCTTGCATCGCTCTCTTTTCCTTAAAATCTAACATTGTAAGAAATATCCAATAAAATACTTTACTAATTTTTTCTTTTACAAGTCAAACGAAGCACGTGCAATACATTAATTTTTCGTCCCTTGCATCGCTCTCGCTTCCTTTAAATCTAACCGTGTATGGAATGTCCAATATAATACTTTCTTAATTTTCTTTTCTATAAGTCAAACCAATCACGTGCAATACATCAATGTTTCGTCCCTTGAATCGCTTTCTTTTCCTTAAAATCTAATCTTGTAAGAAATATCCAAAAAAAACTTTATTAATTTTCTCTTCTACAAGTCAAACGAAGCACATGCAATAAATCAATTTTTCATCCCTTGCATCGCTTTCTTTTCCTTAAAATCTAACCTTGTAAGGAATGTCCAACAAAAAAAATTTATTAGTTTTCTCTTCTGCATGTCAAATCAAGCACGTGCAACACATTAATTTTTCATCCCTCGCTTCACTATCGCTCCCTCAAAATATAACCGTGTAAGGAATGTCCAACAAAAACCTTTACTAATTTTCTCTTCTTCGAGTTAAACCAAGCACGATCTAGCTCACACGATCCATGTTGGTTCGGCTGGTCCCATTGTGCTTTGTCTAGTTAACAATTGACATTGTTTGCCCATGCTTGATTGACTCATTATGGTAAAACCTTCATATGACTTGGTCAGCATCTGTAAAACATTTCATGAGCCACGCAGGCATGGGAGACTCTCACCCAAATTGATGCCCACATTTTATGTTGACATATACCAAAATTGATTTGCATGATTGATATTTAGTGTTGACATATATTAAAACTTTATTAATTTTCTTTTCTACAAGTTAAATTAAGTGCGCGCAACACATTAATTTTTTGTTCCTTGTATCTTTCTTGTTTCCTTAAAATCTAAATCAATCTAAATAATAATCTAAATCTAGGGATTTTTACATAGTAGAGCACTTTTGTGAGACTATTTATCTAAAGGAAAGCATTTTTCATTTATTCCAAATTTAGCATATTTATTTATAAATAGAATAGATTTTGTTACGACTTAACCGGCAAATCAAGGGATCGGTTTTGTTCCATTTTAATTCGTTAATCTTCTATCACACCATTATACTAAAACTATAGTTTTTCACTCCCAATTTATGCCATATTTTTGCCTTTCAACTATTCTCGGCACATTCCTCTCCAAAAAAAAAAAAAAAAAAAAAAATCTAACTTCATTTACTTTGTGGAATCAACATAAATGGAATCATTTTCTTTTTCTTTCTAGGTAATCTATTTCTAATGTAAAAATACATTGGAATATCAATTACTTCAAAACACTACCAGATTCCTCAGTGTGTGTTCTCTGTTAACTCTTCCTTCATTCCTTGACCTTTCCTGAAATGACTCCAAGTATTTGAGCCACACATGAAAATGGAAAAGCATTCTGTTTTATCTCTAAATCCTTCAGAATAGTCATTCCATGGACTACACATACTCACAATCACAAATAATTCATTTCATCAGTTCAAATCACATTTGAATCACCCTTGATACTATAATTATACAACTATTATTTCATGTATACTATTAAAACTAATTTATATAAGAAAAACCAAATCTAGAAAGTCTAAAACATTAAGATACCATCATTATACTAGTATAATATGGCGTATCATTATTATATTCGATTTATATCATATTGTCACGACCCTAAACCCAACCCGGTCGTGATGGCGCCTCTCGTGAAGACAAGGCCAGCCGACACACCTCCAATTCACTTTAAGCAATTAAAATAATAACTACTAAGTCTTTAATCAGAATTAAAATCCCAAAATAAGCATTTAACAGTATAATTTGCGTAAAATAAAAACCAACACAGCCCGACATCGGGGTGTCACCAGTCATGAGCATCTAAAACAATACTACAAATCTGAAAGTCTACTCCACTACTAAATAACTGAATCAGAAAGGAAATAAGATAGAGGGAGGTTGCACTGGGTTGCGAATCGCCAAGCAGCTACCTAGTAAACCTCCGAAGATCTGCTGAAACTATCCACCCTCAGTAGCAGGACCTGTAGCGCCCGAATCTGCACACAGAGGTGCAGGAAGTAAAGTGAGTACTTCCAACTCAGTGAGTAACAAAAATAAATAAATGAAGACTGAACGATATAAAATCACGTTAAACACAACATTTAGCTATCAGAGGCATAACAAAAATCAGTAAACACAATTTAACAATGAAATCTCATAAAACACCTTCTTAAGCAGTTAAACAATATATGGGGAAAACCACTAGGAATAGTAAACACATAAGAACTGCCCCTCGGGCACAATAATCATCAGTATCAGCCCCTTGGACAATATCACAGAACAATACCAGCCCCTCGGGCTATATCTCATATCACAATGGGTACCCGCGCTCACTGGGGGTGTGCAGACTCCTAGAGGGGCCCCTTACGGCCCAAGCGCAATATCAAGCCATCTCGTGGCATCATAAACAAGCTCTCGGCCTCATATCAATATCATGCCACCTCGTGACGTACAATTTCAGGCCCTCGGCCTCATTATCATAATCAGTATATCACTACTGCGGCGTGCAGCCCGACCCAAAAGTATCCCCACAATACAGGCCCTCGGCCTTACTTAGTCAAAATCTCATAAGCCCCTCGGGCAATAGTAAAATATGCAGCTCAGCTCAAAATATCTTTAAAACATCATTTAACGTTTCTAAAACAGATTAACACAAATGAGTTTTGAAAACATTGAAAGATATGGCATGACTGAGCACACGTATGAAATCAAACAGTGAGGACAATATCATTAACGATCCCCTAAGGGTTCAAACAGTTGGCACGAAGCCCAAATATGGCATTTAGCCCAAAGTATAATAATATCAAACAATTAGCTACCAAATATACAGAAAAATAGTCATTCGGGATGGACTAAGTCACAATCCCCAACGGTGCACGATCCCACGCTCGTCATCTAGCGTGTACGTCACCTCAACACAACCGAACGTTGTGTAATCCGGGGTTTCATACCCTCATAACAGCAGTTAAAATCATTACTCACCTCGAACTAGCCCGAAAAGCTACTCTGCAACACGCTTGCCTCTCGAACCAACTTCTGAGTGCTCCAAATCTACCAAGTTCAGATTTTTATCATCAAATTATGCTAAACGAATGAATTCTGATTGAAAAATATCGATTTTAAGCACAAAATCCGAAATCAGTCAAAACTCGACCCCCGGGCCCGCGTCCCGGAACTGGACAAACATTATACCAAAATGTTCTTCATCATCTCACGAGTCCGTACATATAAAGAACTCGAAAATTGAAGTTCGTTTGACCCCTCAAATCATCCCTAGAAGGTCTCGTAATCTCAAGCCCTAACTCCACCTTTTTCTACTGATTTTCATAAATTAAACACTGATATTTTATTCCTTAATTACAAATAATCGAGTTTTAGAGTCCAAAATCCTTACCTCAATGAAGAACAATGATTTCCTCTCTTCAAAATCGCCTCAAAGCTCTTTTCCCGTTCAAAAATGGTGGAAGTTAGGTTCAAAGTCGCAGAATAGCCTTTTAAAAACATGCTGCCCAGTCTTCATCGAGTTGTACCTTGCGTTGTGCAGGTTGTACATCCTATTACAATTTTCCCCTGCTGTACACCTTCTGCTAAAACGTCCATAACTCCTTGTGGAAATATCCAAATGATAAACGGTTTGAAAATTTAGAAATTAGGCTCGAAGATCTTTCATTTGATAGGTTGTACACCATATAACTCTTTATATATTCCGAGATATGAGCTTCTGAAGTCGGCTCCATGCATCAGAAAATTCTGTCGAAACTGCTCCACCGGCCATCTTCAATCGATCATAACTTTCTGATAAAATGTCCAAATGATGAACGGTTTAACTTTATGAAAACTAGAATGCATGGGAAACAACTTTTATGTTTCGCAAATTTTCAAATTCCTTATAGATTTCGAGATATAAGCTTTCAAATTCAGCTCCGCGATTGCACTAGTTGCTGTCAAAACAGCTTTCTGCAGAAAATTTCACCAACTCTTTGGTCCGAAATTCATTCGGTTAACCTTCTGAAATTCACCAGAGGCCCTCGGGACCTTAATCAATTATACCAACATGTCCCAAAACATGATACGAACGCGCTCGAGGCCACAAATCACATAAAACAACTTCAAAATCATGAATCGCACTTCAATCCAAACTTTATGAACTTTGAAATTTCAAACTTCTACATTCGATGCCGAAACCCGTCAAATCACGTCCGATTGACCTCAAATTTTGCACACGAGTCATATTCGGCATTACGGACCTGCTCCAACTTTCGGAATTGGAATTCGACCCCGATATCAAAAAGTCAAACTCTCGGTCAATTTTAAAAACCTTCAAATTTCTATCTTTAGCGAAATGACTTCAAAATGACCTACGGACATCCGAATTCACTTCCGATCATGCTCCCAACTCCAGAATCACCATAAGGAGCTATTCCCAAACTCGGAATTCCAAACGGACATCAATATCACTGAAATGCACTTCAACCCAGACTTATAAAATTTCTCAAAAATGCTAACTTCCACAATAGGCGCCAAAACATTCCCGGATTTTCCAAAACCCGATCCGGACATACGCCCAAGTCCGAAATTACCATACGAACCTGCTGGAACCTTCAGATCCCGATTCCGAGGTCGTTTACTCTGAAATCCAATCTTAGTCGATTCTTCCAACTTAAGGCTTCTGAAATGAGAATTTTCTTTCCAATTTGACTCCGAACTTCCCGGAATTCAACTCAGACCACGCCTACGAGTCATAACACCTGAAATGAAGCTGCTCATGACTTCAAATCGCTGAACGACGCGCTAGAGCTCAAAACGACCGGTCGGA